CTGGTCAATATATCTCCATGTGGCTCATGACATTGGCCAACCAGATGTCTATGGGAAGCCTGCAAGGGGGCTAAACTCAGCAGCATGCTCCCCGCTGGTGATTCCCAGCAAATGGTATTCAGAGGCATATAGCTGCCAGCAGTTGAAGTAGCTTATCCTCCTTAACCTTGTCTATACTTCTTTTAAAGTCATCCAAGTTGGTGGCCATCACCACCTGGCCAGTCTTAGAAGGGGCCACAGCCCAATCTATCCCATCATTCTGGGCCTGTTCATGCTCCATTTGTGGGATTAATTCCCAACACTTGCCTGGTTAAACCAGAATTCTGTAGAAGAGGACTGGAGAGCAGAGCAAACCTGTAGCCCATTGGTTCTCAACCTGTGGGTCCCCAAATGTTGTTGGACTACAACTCCCATCATCCCTGACCACTGGTCATGCTGGCTAGGAATGATGGGAGCTGTAGTCCAACAACATCTGGGGACCCACAGGTTGAGAACTGCTGTAGCCCATAAGAAGTCCTCCAGATGTTCATGGACTGCAACTCCTATCAGCCTCAGCCAGAAGGGCCTTGGGCCAAGGATGAGTAGAGTTGTACCTCAACAACATCTGGAAGGCAACAGGCTCACCATCCCAGGTGTAGACAATGCCTAATTTGATGGACCAATGGTATGATTTGGTGTAATGTAGCTCCTTTGCTCCTATCTTCCAGTTCTTGTGTTTAGATACTTGATGGTGGTGGGAGTCCAACATCATTTGGAAAGCACTATGCTGTCTACCATGCAGATGTAGTAGAATAAATATATGTAATGGGAGAAATCAGATAAGGAAACAAGGTCAAGTAAACAAACTTAGCTACAGTGCTAGATATTGAGATGTTAGAGACCTGAGCTTCCAAAAACATATTTGAATCAAGAAAATCAAGATACCTATAGATACGTAACTGACAAAACAACAGTAGCACACATACATACACACACACATCTACTACCCTTAAGTCATGCTATTCCCTAGAATCAATGGGCTGCACAACTCTAATTCTGAATCCAGACCTAAACCAAGTAAAAATAAAAGCAGCCACCAAGGAGCATTTCAGAAGCTGGTCTGCTTACTCTCTTACCTTAATATCTAGCAAGGAGAAGCCGCAATGGAATCAGATGAAGATTCTGGAGTGTTTTGAGTTGCCTGCATTTTTATACTGTTTTGGGGGCAGCATCAAGGATATGAGCCACCCCCCCACTACACACACACAATGCAATTAATTGCCACCCAAACAAGATTTAATACAATGTTTACTCCACTTTTAAGGGAGTAGTGGCTTTTAATTATATGGTTCTTTATTTGTGAAGGTGAGATTGTTGCAATTCCTGATGAGAACTTTGTCATCGATGTTCCTGTTAGTTTTTTTCTCCAACATATTTCCCCCCTCTCATCATAGCCATGATGACTTTGCTCTGTCTCCATAGTCAGAGTCAATAAGGCTTCTGAATATCAGTTGCTGGAAGGAACAGGAGGGGAGAGTGCCCTTTCGCTTGGGTGCTGCTGGAGGGTTTCTTATTGGGACATCTGGTTGACCACTCAGAGGCAAAGGAAGGCTAACCAGCACCTGGTCCGGGGTGTCGGGGGGCGGGGAAAACTGCCCGGCGGGGCATGTGCGTGCACCGTATATACATTGCATGCATGGTGTGCTATGTGCTGTGCATGCATGTGACCATATGTGGCAGTGGTGCGCATGCATGCGCAGCACATAGCAGTGGTGCACACACGCCATGGGGCGGTTTGCCGACGGAGCCACTCGAGCGCCGTGCTGACAGCGGCAGGATCGCTCTGCCGTCACTGCAGCCGCGAGCGAAGGATCCTCCGCACATGGCTGTGGCAGGGCGGTGGTGGTGGCTCGTGCTGCTGTGCCCAGGGGCGGCAGGGCGAGCCCCCCATGGAGTGCCTTCTCATCACCCCCCTTAGAGATGACACCTGGGATGAGCCGCCCCCTTCCTCCGCCACTGGAACCACTGTGATAACAGGATGGTCGACTAGAAGGGCATTGGCCTGATCCAACATGCCTTTTCTCATATTCTTAAATTATATTCATTCATGTAAGGACTCTGGATCCAGCAGTTTCATTCACTAGCAGAAGAGTTTTGGGGATGACCTTACCAACTCTACCTTTCAACTAAACCCCTATGAACGTCTAAAGATTCTGCTCCAGAGGGTTAGGGGATGTAGCTCATTGGAAGAACACCTGCTTTGCACTCAGAAGGTCCCAGGTTCAATCACCAGGTAGGGTTGGGAAAGACCCCTGCCTGAAACCCCGACAGCCTCTGCTGCTCAGTATGGCCAATACTGTGCTAGATGGACCAAAGGTCTCACTTGCTATAAGGCAGTTTCCCCTATTTCTGCAAATATTGTTGCAAATTCACTCCCTTCTACTTAACGAGGGCCTAAGTTAGTGGATGTGGGTGGTGCTGTGGTCTAAACCACTGAGACTAGGGTTTGCTAATCAGAAGGTCAGCGGTTCAAATCTCTGCAATGGGGTGAGCTCCCGTTGTTCGGTCCCAGCTCCTGCCAACCTAGAAGTTCAAAAGCACATCAAAAGTGTAAGTAGATAAATAGGTACGGCTCCAATGGGAAGGTAAATGACATTTCCGTGTGCTGCTCTGATTTTGCCAGAAGAAGCTTAGTCATGCTGGCCACATAACCCGGAAAAACTGTCTATGGACGAAATGTCGGGTCCCTCGGCCAGTAAAGTGAGATGAGTGCCGCAACCCCAGAGTCGTTCACGACTGGACTTAACAGCCAGAGGTCCTTTACCTATACCTTTAAGTTAGTGGAGGCCTATACGAGACAGAAGACTCTTACATGAATTGTGGACTTCTGGTTTTGGAGGGCCCAATCTTAGGTGCTTAGAAAAATGATGCTAACTGGGGAAATGGACATATTTGATATGGACTGTTATACTCAACAGTTTAAGCTTGGTCCACTCTTGCAAGGTACTTGAGGTCCTGACTGTGCCAGCGCCAGGCTATTTTGTACCCTAGGTGATGCTAACTAGGTGAGCTCCACATTGGGTAAAATATTTCTGCATTCAAGGGGTTTGGACTAGATAATCCTCATGGTCCTTCCAACTCTACAATTCTATGATTTTATGATTCTCCTTGCACCCCAAAACTATGTATTGCTGACTTCAACTTTCAGAAACAGATGTCTTTGCCCAGCATTTCTGTAAAACACACACACACACACACAGAACCTGCTACTACTCTTCTTATCATCATTACTGTAATCATTACATTTATTTCTTGCCCTTCACCAGCAGGTGCCAGAGCAGCTTATAAGAACTTACAATTCAGAAGGATAGATAGTTAAAACAGATTGCAATCACGGGAATAGGGTGGCTCCCGAAAATTCATATCTCAGGTCTCAAAGGGCCGGTGGAAGAGGTGTGTCTTCAGCATTTTGCAGAAAGCCAGATAGTGAAGAAGCCAGCTGCACCGCTGTGGGGAGGGATTGCCACAACTGAGGGACTGACACAGAATCAGAGAAATGTTGTAGGGTATGGAATTGTGCAACTTTTAGAAGACAACCTTTAGAAGACATCTGAAGGCAGCCCTATATAGGGAAGTTGTTTACTGTTTTATTAAATTTTTATATACCTTATTTTTCGCTCTATAAGACGCACCAGACCACAAGATGCACCTAGTTTTTGGAGGAGGAAAACAAGAAAAAAAATATTCTGAATCTCATTAGCCAGAACAGCAAGAGGGATTGCTGCGCAGCAATCCCTCTTGCTGTTCTGGCTTCTGGGATACCTGCGTAGCCTGCATTCACTCCATAAGACGCACACACATTTCCCCTTACTTTTTAGGAGGGAAAAAGTGAGTCTTATAGAGCAAAAAATACGGTATGTTGGAAACTGCACTGTGGCTGGGGCAACCCAGTCAGACGAGTGAGGTAAAATTACAAATACAAATACAAATACAAATAATTGAATAGGACGTCCCTATTTTCATCAGAGAAATGTTGGAGGGTGTGGTACAACCTGCAATGCAGGAATAGACCCTGTCTATTCACAGGGTATTTGCTGCATATGGCATGTGCATAGCGCCCAACTTTTTCAGATAAAGAGACAGGACACACGTCTGCTGGGAGAAGCTCCTGCGTCAGTCCACATGACCTGCACTGTGATCCCACCCTGAAAAAGCACTTTTTCATTGTGAGATCTTGTGCGGTATAGCCACCCAAAGTCTTTTGCAGGGCAAGAGTTGTTAAGCCTCCTGACAAGAGTATGGCGCAATAGCATGGCACCTCAAATGGTCACTGCTATCATGCGCATAAAAAACCAGGATGTCCCCTTTTTTTTCTGGCACACTTTGCATGTATGCATATGTTCCTTCTTTTCTGACACAATTTATGGAATAAAGAACTGGCTCTGCCATCCATTTCAGAAGAGTGCCTATCGTACTGGCCCTTTCCAAAACTCTTTCTGTCCCCGTGTAAACTGACTAACGCTGAACGGAACGTGCCTTCTTTTATTTGGCCTCTAAACCAGCAAAACTTTTGCTCCAATTTATCTCTCTTGTATCGAGAGGAAAACAAACCTAAGTGTGTCAAGCTTCTACTATGGTTCCTTCAAGATGTTTCCATATGTGAGTCACCTCTACCCTTGTTGCCTGAAGCAGGAAGTGAGCAATCGTTCTAATTAATTACTTAATGAATGGGGTTTCTTATCCACCCCTTCTCCATTAGGCCCTAGGGAGGGTTACAACAGTAGAACGTGCTGTTACAAAACAATAAAACTAATGTTTTGATTTAATTATTATTATATCTATATCTATATCCATATTCTGTCCTCTACAGAGACTACCCTCATCCCCCAACCCAGTTCAGTATCATGGGAAACTGTTTTATACTGAGTGAGGCAACTAGTTCATCTTAGGCCAGCACTGCATACACTGAGCGGCAGTAGTTCTCCAGGGTTTCAGACAGCAAGTCTTTTCTTAGACCTACCTGGAGATGACAAGGATTGAACCTGGTACCTCCTGAATATTAAGAAGATGCTCTATCACTGAGCTAAAGCCCATCCCCAAAGGAAAACAAGAAGCTGCATTATACTAGTTGCTGGAAACCACAGCAGGGAAGAGAGCTGCTGTTGTCTTTTTTAAAATAATAATAATAATAATAATAATAATAATAATAATAATAATTTTCATTGGTTTTACATATAATCACATTAAAGATAAAGGTAAAGGGGCCCTGACCATTAGGTCCAGTCGTGACCGACTTTGGGGTTGCAGCGCTCATCTCGCTTTATTGGCCGAGGGAGCCAGCGTACAGCTTCTGGGTCATGTGGCCAGCATGACTAAGCCGCTTCTGGTGAACCAGAGCAGCGCACGGAAACACTGTTTACCTTCCCGCCGGAGCGGTACCTATTTATCTACTTGCACTTCATGCTTTCGAACTGCTAGGTTGGCAGGAGCAGGGACCGAGCAACGGGAGCTCACTCCGTCACGGGGATTCGAACCGCCAACCTTCTGATTGGCAAGTCCTAGGCTCTGTGGTTTAACCCGCAGCGCCACCCGTGTCCCCATAATCACATTACGTAACATCATATTCTCTTATTTTATCTCTTTGGCTGAACTGAGCCTAACGACCTCCCTCCCTCCCGTCTGATGGTTTACAAAATTAAACTTTGCATCGTTCCACTTTGCTTTGTTTCCTAGTTATATTGTTACCTAAAATATTATATTACTCAACCTGAATAGGCAGCAGTTTCATCTTACAAATCTTCAGATGACCCTGCAAATGCTGTTAATTGCTTACAGTTGTCTTTCAAATGTAATATAAATTTGTTCCAGTCCTTCTGGAATGCTTGGTCACGCTGATTTCCGGATTCTTCCCATCAGCTTCGCCAGTTCCGCAAAGTCCATCAGCTTCATCTGCCACTCTTCTTTTGTTGGTAACTCCTGTTGTTTCCATCTTTGGGCTAACAAAAGTCTTGCCGCAGTTGTTGCGTATAAGAACAATTTTTTCTCTTGTCTTGGTATCTCCCTATCCACTGTACCCAATGAAAAAGCTTCTGGTCTTAAAACAAAAGTGTTTTAAAACATGAGAGCTGTTGTCCCTGTGTCCTGCTTCTGAGTTTGCTGTAGGCATCAGCTTAGGCACTGTGAGCACAGGATGCCAGACTTGATGGGCCATTGGCCTGATCCAGCATACAGTGGTACCTCGGGTTAAGAACTTAATTTGTTCCGGAGGTCCGTTCTTAACCTGAAACTGTTCTTAACCTGAAGCACCACTTTAGCTAATGGGGCCTTCCACTGCCGCCACACAATTTCTGGCAGACAGCCAGAAGGCAATCTGAAGGAGTAAATCTGCCTGGTGGTAGCAGAGGATGCTTACGATCCATCAACCTCTGCTACCACCAGGCAGACTTACTCCTTCAGATGGCCTTCTGGCTGTCTGCCAAACCTTAATTGCCTCTGTGTGAGTAGCTGCACGTACACAGTTTCCCAATACTGTTCTCATCCTGAAGCAAAGTTCTCAACCCGAGGTACTATTTCTGGGTTAGCGGAGTCTGTAACCTGAAGCATCTGTAACCTGAAGCATCTGTAACCCAAGGTACCACTGTACTCTTCTTATGTTCTTATTTATCAAGCCAAAACCTTTGGTCCATCCAACTCAGTATTGCCCCATGTTGGCTGGCTATAGCTCTCCAGGGTTTCAGACAGGGAATCTTTTTGGAGATGCCAGGATTTCAACCTGGGACTATCTCCATGCAAAACAGGTGCTTTACCAACAAACCAGCATCCTTCTGCAACATTTATCTTCTGGGCAACCTCACCCTGTTATGCCTTCCCTGTCTCCTTCCTCTTTTGATTTTCACAATCGATAAATCATAAAGGCGCGAAGAAACCTACATTTATCAAGTCCTCCCTTGGTTCCCATTGGGATTTCTTTCTTTCTTTCTTAAATGCATATACCACTCTTCATCCAAAGACCTCAGCATAAAAATACAATCTATAAAACGCTATTAGCAGCTTTAAAAAAAGCACCTAAACATCACATTTTCAGCATAAACAAGAGGAAGAACCATTAGGAATGGGGCAGGCAAACGTTATGGGAGAAAACAGGTTGTGACTAGAGGGCTGATTCTCCGGAGCACTGAGTGCCAAGCCAAGATGGGCACTGCAACAACAGAAGGTGCAAGGCAGGGGAGACACAGAATTTTTGCATCTCAGAGGGCGCTGCTGAAATTTCAAAGACCAAAGTCCACCATTGCCACACCCTGAGCTTGGCATGGGGTATCTGTCTGCCTGGAATCTCTCACCTCAGTCACCCAGAGAGACCTGTGCTTAGGTCCTGCTTAAGGGTACATTGCCGGGTGATTCCATTCGAGTGAGGTTGGGTGCTTTCCTAACACAGTGGAGTGGCACTCCACCAGCAGGGGCAGAGGGTAATGAAGAAATCACCCTAGTCCATTGGCCTGATTTCTTTCTTTTCTTTTTGATAACTTTTTTATTAATTTTCCAAAAATAACAAAAAGAAAAACAACAATACAAGAACAAAGCAAAACAAATTGACTTCCCTCTAATCCCTTCCTTGGTTCTATTATTTATCAACATACTGCATGCCCATTATTAAATTTTGAACCTATTTAAATGACCTATTATCCATTCATAACAAAATTACAAGTAATCTTAAAACTCTGTTAATGTATTAACCTGTGTGCAATGCTTCTGTATCTATGAAATGAACATTTTCCATTCTTCCTTAAATTCGTTGTCGTCTCTTCCTCTTAGTTTCATTGTCAGTTTTGACATTTCAGCATATTCCATTAATTTAACTTGCCAACACTGGCCTGATTTCACCCAATACCTGTGTCCCGTGTCAGTCATTGCACTGATTTCAGGACCACAGATTGCACCTGCCTGGGCAATAAGGTTGTTACTACTGGTACCTTTCTTCTGTTGTTGATAAGTAGGAAATGCTGAAACCGTGCTGGACTTTAGAAATTTAAAAAGCTCTGCTGGATCAGGCGAAAAGGCTTACAAATAAACAAGGCCTTAATGCCAACAGGATGGTGATGGGTCAACCTCTTTCAGCCTGACTTGTTTTGTATTGTAGGGCTTTTGTGGACAGATATGTCCCAAAACCCAATTCTTGGCGGAAGGGTGGAGACGAGTGTGCCAAAATGGAAATGGATTTAATTGGGTCATGGCATGTCCTGCTGTCTTCTTTCTTTCTTTTTTAATGTTCGCATCCCTTTGTTCAGATAAAGCTGTAATCATCAGCTGATTCATGCTGAAAGGCATAGCAGCTGGAAAAGGCGTGTGCATCCATCGGCTTCACCCTGAGAGACGAGGCAGGTGATCTGGGTGTTTTTCAACATCTTCCTTTCATTGATTGAGGGCTAGATCTGTGTTGTGTAAACCATGTTGTTTAGAGCCCCACCTAGGCCAACTGAGATAAACGAGCAAAACCTCATACCATAGGGACCACCTGAACTAGGGCTGAAAGCTCTGAACTAGGTAGACTTTAGACAGCATTTGGGCTGCTTTGCTTAGAGAAAAGGCAAGCAAAAGGCCCATATATTTTAAAAATCATGCATGACGTGGCAAAGAAAAGTTTCTCTTCCTCTCTCATGAGGCTAGAACTATGAAGATGGAAGTTGTTCTGCTTGCAGACTTCACAACAGGGCATCTGGTTGATCAGTCTGAGAATAGGGCTGCAAAAGATGGAACTTTGACCGGCCTGGTTCATCAGGATCCATAAAAAAGAATTCACTTGTTTTATTATGTATTTATTTTTTACCTCAACTTTTTCCCTGACAGGGACTTAAGACAGCTTGCAGATAAAATAAGAACAGCTATAAACACAAGGGGGGAACCATTTAAAAACAAACATTAATTAATTTTTTAAATAAAAAACAACAACAGAGCATAGGATCATAGAGTTGGAAGGGACCCTGAGGATCATCTAGCCCAAGGATTCCCAAGCTTAGGTCGCCAGCTGTTTTTGGACTACAGTTCCCATCATCCCTGACCACTGGTCCTGCTAACTAGGGATGAAGGGAGTTGTAGTCCAAAAACAGCTGGAGACCCAAGTTTGGGAAACCCTGACCTAGTCTCAGGGTGTGTTATAACCATATAACCTGACCCCCTATGAGGGTTAAAACAAATTGTAGTCACACAGGCATAAAGTAGGTTCCGAAAACAAACATTTCAGATGTGAAATGCCAGGGCAAAGTGGTGCGTATTCAGCATTCACCAAAAGCTGTACAGTGAAGTTGTCAGATGCATCTCTGTGGGGAGGGAGGACTTAGGGGGTGCCGCAGAGAAGGCCTTCTCCCAGGCTACAACAACTCAAACTTCTGAGGGTGGTGGAAATATCCATAGGACCACCTCTGCTGATCTTAACTGCCTAAGGGAGTCCCTTAAATATTTGGAAGAAGAACAAAAGAAGAGCCTGCTGTATCAGGCCAATGGCCCAGAGAGTTTAGCATCCTGTTCTCACAGTGGTCCACCAAATTCCTCTGAGAAGCCCTCAAGCAAGACCTGGACGCAAGAACACTCTACTCTCTCCTGCGGCTTTCAGCAACTGGTATTCAGAAGTCACTCCCTCTGAATGTGGAGGCAGAGCATAGTCATCATGACCACTTTGTCCCCAGGGAAGAGTTGTTAGTTATCCTTTTTGGCAAAATGTGGTTACGTCTTCCCTCCTCTCCTGTAACCTCAATGTAGTAAATGCTGCTGACTGAGCATCCCGGTGATTATATAAGCACAACTAGATTTGTAGAGAGATTACATGTTGTATTAAATGCTTCTTAAGCTTTTTTTCTGTATTTCGAAAACTCTTCTGATCACTACATTAGCTATCTTTTGCTTCAGAAGCCTGGGCAAGGCGGACTTCTGAAAAGTGAATGAATACACCGGGCAGAAGAATCTCTGTAATATATAAACAAGGGGGGGGTGTCTACAAAAGTGTCCCTGTTATCATTTGTGTCTTTAAGCATGTGTACAGTTGGTGAACAGAGGAAGTTGCCATTGGTCCATCAAGCTCAATAATTTCTTTACTGATTGGCAATGCTGTCGAGGGTTACAGACAAGGGACAATCCCAGCCCTAGTTGGAGATGCTGGATATTGAACCCAAGGTCTTCTGCATTCAAAACAGATATTCTATTACAGAGCTATGGCATTTCCCTGAAAAATAATTGTAAGGTTACAGTTCTCCTGGTACTGAACATATAGGAACAGAGGAAGATACCTTATACTGAGTCTTATCATTGGTTCATCTAGCTCAGTATTGTATACTCTGATTGGCAGTGGCTGTCCAGTGTTTTAGACAGGGGACATTCTCACCCTGGCTGGAGATGCTAGAAATTGAACCCAATACCTACCTACCTACCTACCTACCTACACCCACCCACCCCATGAGTGCCAACTGCCTGGGGCCCTGGGTGCCTGAGCAACCACAAAATTCCCAATCTATGGACCAGACAGCCACAAATTTCGATGACAGGGCCATGCATCCTGCACGGCACCCATGGCCTGTGCACCCATGGTTGTGGGGCCAGGTTGGCACTCCTCTCTCTCACACACACATTTCTTCATTCTTTTCTATACCTGTCTTTCTTTCTCTCCCTAGTATATACTCTCTCCTTCGCTATCCCTTTCTTATAAACTGTATTTTAAGAAATTTCTATTCATTGATACAGTTTATAACTAGAATTTGCAGCCCAGAGCAAAACAGGCTGTTAGTTAACCCGCTGCAACATTTTACATGATTCTTGAATATATGTGTGCGATGTGGCGCGATATCTCCTTGCAGCCCATGTTTAAGAGATGGCTTGCTTGTTTGTTGTAGATTTGAAATGCAGTGTTGGTTAGAATTGGTAGGGTGCATTATCGAGAAATCCATTTGCAGCCAACACCGTCTGCCGGTGTGGTGCAGTGGTTAACATGTGGGACTAAGACCTGGGAGATCAGGGTTCGAATCACCCCTCAGCCACTGGTGAGCCCACTGGGTGACCTTGAGCCCATCAGTACCTCTCAGCCTAACTTACCTCACAGGGCTGTTGCTGGGATTTAGTGAGGATGGGTAATATACATGTATACCACCTTGAGCTCCTTGGAGGAAAAAAATGGGATATAAATGCCAAAAAAGAAATGATCTTCCATTTTCTGCCTTCCCTCATTTCTCTCTGATATTATGCCGGAACACCCTTTTTCTTCTGCCACTTCATGAGCCATACACCCCATCAATATTATACATCACTGATCAGATGTTAGCAGCATCCATTATGCTATACAACAGCTTGACCTTCAGTGATTTAATAGTCAGTGTTTTTTTGGCTCATTGGGTCAAAGATATATATTTTTAAAGAGACTGCAAACACCCTAGAAAATGGGTGCATTCAGTAGTGGGGATTATAGTGTTCATTTCCCTGGTTATAATGTTAGTGGTTCTGCTGTCATGAATAGTATGAAATATATGGTGGAATACTGCCCCATATATCATTTCATGACACAATCCATGAAAATCAGGGGGAAATTGCAGTGCAAAACTCTTGTGGTTTTGCAGGTTCACGAGGTTGCAAATTGATTTTTTTCTGAAAACAGTTAACACAGAAATGAGGCTAAACTTCCACTATATTCCACTGGATTTCCAGGAGTGATTTTTGTTGCATGTGGCAGATCACATAAAATGTGGACATCAGGTAAGGAAACAATGGAGAAACATAATCAATGGTATCTGAATGTATCTTGTGTCAACACTGAGTGTAGATTGGCCCGCTGTCCAGTGAGTGGTGACTTGTGTCTGTTTACCGGTGTGGAAATGGGAAAAAAAACTGAATTAAAGATTAGAAAAAATGAGAAACTGAGAGAAACCAAAATGGACAGATTTTTCCATCTCTGTAGGTAATGGAAGTGAAACATATACAAAAATTGTTCAGATCACAAACAGGCTGATTTTGAGAATGTAGGAAGATCTCTGCTGTATTAGACCAAAGATCAATCTAGGCCAGCAACCTTTTCTGCACAAAGAACATCTAGATGCATCCAAGAAATCTGCAAACAGAGTAGCCCTCTACTACTGTTGAATCCTAGCAAACAGTATTCAGAGACATGCTGTCTCTGATCTTGGAGGTAGTATATATGTCCATAATGATTTCTGGGCATTGATAGTCATATTAAAGGTAAAGCTAAAGGGACCTCTGACAGTTAAGTCCAGTCGCGAACGACTCTGGGGTTGAAGTGCTCATCTCGCTTTAGAATCCGAGGGAGCTGCCGTTTGTCCGCAGACAGTTTTTCCGGGTCATATGGCCAGCAACGTAACACTGACACCAGAGCAGTGCACAGAAACGCCGTTTACCTTCCCATCAGAGCAGTACCTATTTATCTACTTGCACTTTTTGGCGTGCTTTCGAACTGCTAGGTTGGCAGGAGCTGGGACTGAGCAACGAAAGCTTACCCCATCGGTAGGATTGGAACCACCGACCTTTTGATTGGCAAGCCCAAGGCCCAGTGGTTTAGACCACAGTGCCACCCGCGTCCCATGCTAGTCATATTATCCTCTATAAATTTGTCTAGCCCCCTTTCAAAGTTGTCTAAGTTGGTGACCATCACTACTTCTCATGGAAGCATGTTCCAAAATTTAACTATGTACTGGGAAATATTTAGTTTCCTTGAATGACCCCATTAGGTTATGGACAAAATAGGGAGAGTGATTATATATATATATATATATATATATATATATATATTCATTCCAAGGCAGGATCCCAAACATTGGGACCTTCCCTGATAATTAGGGACAATTGGAGCAAGCAAGGCATGTGATTCCACATTTGGAACAGTGTGCAAAGTGTTTACACAGATGTTCATAGGTTGGACTTCTTTCCACTTAAGGTATTAAGACCAAGAGTTCATAACCTCAATTTGGCAACCTTGTTGGGTGGAGTCCATAGTGTGCTGAGTCGCAGGAAAAAAAAAAGTAAACACAATCAATAAGGTGATTATTCCTATCGGCTTGATAATCAACCACTGGAGAGTATGGGGAGTGGGTGATTACTTAAGAGCAATTTCCATGGAGGTGTCAATGGATTAATTCACACCCAAAAGTGTGTCATACTCACCTGGTGGTGGATGAAACTGTATAAAAAGGTCGGCACCCAAGGACTGCCTTCATCATCTCTCTTGACTCTTTCCATCCTCCAATAACAAGCACAGGTAAGTCAAAGCGGGTGTCTTTCAAAGCTGATATTGCAATTGAAATGAATTTGGAGATGAATGAACCTCTTCAAGGTGGTTCTCTCAGCTTGATTATGCCCACATTTAATGTTGCTTGAATCTGAATTTTGATCCTAGGAACATGAGAAACTGCCTTTGTGCTGTTCAGACCATTGGTCCATCTTAGCTCAGTGTGAGCTTTACTGAGTAGCAACAGGGGTTGCGGCTGAAAAGCATTCCCAACCCTACCTGGAGATGCTGGAGGACAAACCTGGGAACTTCTGCATGCAAAGCAGATGATGGCTGTGCAATGTCTCCATGGTTGGAAGCACTAAAGCTTCTGTTTGCTGCTTGCTGGAAACTGCAGGGGGGAGGAGTGTGCTTTTGTGCTCTGGTCTTGCTTGTGGGCTTATCTTTAGGGCATCTGCTTGGCAACTGTGTGAGCAGGATGTTGGACTAGGTGGACTATTGGCCTAATCTAGCAGCCAGGCTGTTCTGATGTTCTTATTGGTAACGATTAGGGAGGACTCTTGCATTCATGCTCTCCCTATGGGATTCCTGGAGAAATCTGATTGGCCACTGTGAGAAAAAGGATGCTATACTAGATGGGCCATTGGCCTTTTCCAACAAGCTCTTCTTATGGTCTTATGTCCTTATGTTCTGCCCATCTGCTAAACATTATGAATCAAGGAAACAGATGCAAGTATTTCTAGAGGGTGGGGAAACTTAAAAAGTTGGCAAATTTGCCAATGTTAAGTTAGAACTTATCAACAAGATTATGGATTCTTTTGAAAATGTTCTTTTCAAGCTTGATTTCCACACATATGGGCCTCTCCATTCCTGTGGAGCAGTAGAAGGCTTCTCCTCAGGTTAGAACTCTGAGGCTGTGGAGGCTGCGGAGTGGAATTTGCCACCAGGGTTGCCTTCAGGTTTTGGTGGGCCTTGGAACAAAATAACCCACCTAAAGCCCCTTGTCTCAGTATCATCTTGCTTCCAGCAAGTGCAGTGACCACCTGCTGGAAGTCTCCATAGGAGGTGGCGTTCTACCAAGCCAAGTCATTGGTCCATCAAGCTCAACATTTTCTCCATGGACTGGCAAGAAATCTCTGGGATTTCAGACAGGAGTTTGTCCCAACCCTACTTACAGATGCTGGGGGTTGAATCTTCAGCCTTCTGCATGATATTCAGGAGTTCTACCACTGGCACTTCCCATCGACATTACCAGTTAGAGAAGCAGTTAGAAGAAAGTTCTCTCCGCAGATGGAGGCCCTCTGCAGGTGCCTATGCCCCTCCTTGGGACCAGTCCTGCCTCCCAGCCTTACTGTTGCAATTCTTTTGTTTTTAAGTTCTTATCCATATGCAATCTCCTCTTGCCTATATAGTGTAACAGAGAAGCACAGCTATAAGCAAGTCATAAAAAGGATGCAGCAGGGGAAAGAATGAATGATTCAGAACTCCAAAATATCTTCTAAGCTGGCAAGTAAACTAGGGAGGAAAGGATTCCCTTGTCCCTTTGGTGTAACATGGATTCTTTCCACATTGCAATAGACTTCTCTCAAGTTCTGATTTAATATGGAGAATTTATAGAAATAATAATAATAATAATAATAATAATAATAATTTTATTATTTCTACCCCACCCATCCAGCTGGGTCTCCCCAGCCACTCTGGGTGGTTTCCAACAGAAGGTTAAAAATACATTAAAACATCAGTTATTAAAAACTCCCCTAAACAGGGCTGCCTTCAGATGTCTTCTAAATGGCAGATAGTTGTTTATTTCTTTGACATCTGGTGGGAGGGCGTTCCACAGGGAGGGCGCCACTACTGAGAAGGCCCTCTGCCTGGTTTCCTGTAACTTCGCTTCTCGCAGTGAGGGAACCGCCAGAAGGCCCTCGGAGCTGGACCTCAGTGTCTGGGCAGAATGATGGGGGTGGAGATGCTGCTTCAGGTATACTGGACCGAGGCCATTTAGGGCTTTAAAGGTCAGCACCAACACTTTGAATTGCATTCAGAAATGTACTGGGAGCCAATGGAGGTCTTTCAAGACCAGTGTTACGTGGTCTCGGCAGCCGCTCCCAGTCCCCAGTCTAGCTGCCGCATTCTGGATTAGTTGTAGTTTCTGGGTCACCTTCAAAGGTAGCCCCACGTAGAGCGCATTGCAGTAGTCCAAGTACTTACTTGTGCGTTGCAAGTAATCCAATATTGGAATGCCTAATTTGCTGCAGATGGTACTTCCTTTGCATTATCCCTCTCCACATCCAAAGTGCATGTGTGCATTGCTAAATTATTGCAAACAAATAAAACAACAAAACACAGTCTAACCGCAGGCTCAATTACATCAAGATTCTTTTTGTACATTGTTGTCACCAATGAGCAAAATTTGCTGCTGCACCTTGAGAAAACGATGTACACAAAGGCACTTGATCCAACCCCATTAAACTGACCCTATTTCTGTGTGGGGTTTGATGCATATCCACCCTTAAAGGAAGGGTGGGAAACCTGAGTGAACTAAATGATGTGTAAAAATTGCACACACAACAATACAATATATAATTTGAGATCAATAGAAGAGCAGTGATTAATTCTCATTTCGCTGGAACTTCTTGCAAAACAAGGTGAGTTTATTGGGGACTCAGAAATCCAGAGAAAAAATTCAGAGAAGGGATTGTTTCTCAGAGTTGCATGTGGAAGGACCTGGGTTCAGTCCCCAACATCTCCAGGTTGGGCTAGGATAACCATTGTCGGAAACTCTGGAGAGGTGCTGCCAATCAGTGTGGACAACATTGAGTTCGATGGACAGTGGTCAGACTTGATGTAAGGCAGTTTCTTATGTTAAAAAGAACATAGCTCAGTGGCATTACAATGTCCTCATGGAATGAATCTCAGTAGTAGCATCTCAGCATCTTCAGGAGGAGCTGGGAAGGCTATTGTTATGGAAATACTGGAGAGCCATTGCCAATCAGTGTAGTTCAGCCTTCACCAACCTGGTGCCTTACAGATGTTTTGGACCTCAACTCCCATCAACTCAGTTGGGCACAATCATTCCAGCTGGGGCAAATGTGAGTTGAAATCCATAACACCTGGAAAGGATTAGGTTGCAGCAGATTGCTTTGGACCGATGGTCCCATTTAGTATTAAGCAGCATCTTATGACCTTTCCTAAATTTTGGGTATGGAAAGTTGTGGGGGCATCCCTCATGTCAAGACATTGCATGCACCAATATTGAATGTGTTTTGACCCAAATGAATGTGTGTGTGTGTGTTCAGTTCCATATACATGATTGAAAGTGGAGTGAGTTGGCTTGTTAACCCTAGATCATAACATACTGAGAGACTACCTTAGCAGAACACGCACAATGAAAACCTTGCATTCTGAAAGCTTTCTAAGTATGTTTCTGGCAAAAGTGATTGATCTATGTTGACTTGTTTGCTATTTAGATGCAACACGTCCTCCTTGGTTTTAATATTATGTGGAGGAGCTTGCCATCACCCAAAACGGTACAATCACTTCTGTGAGAAACAGTTTTGACTATACAAAATACAGATGCAGATGATGCTTTCTGGAACGAGATATGAGCTTTGCATGCTTAGAATCCTCACCTCAAAGAAAATAAGGTTCCATAATTCTTAATTGAAATCTGAGCCAGAGAATAACCCAACCAGCCTCTCCAATCTCAATCCACTTCCATTTAAACAAAACTTAGCAGCCAATGCAATGGTGGTCCTCTAACGACACAAAGAGAGGGTTCTGCAGTCCTCATCCTCTTTCATTGGTAGCAGGACAGGAATATAGGCTGTGATGGCCTTTTGTTACAGTTTCCCATTTGGGGACAGCGGGGGAGTTTATTTTCTGCACCATCTGAACCTGAGCCAGGCAAGAGATGATAGGAGTATCATTAAGTCTTCAAGTCTATTGGGAAGGTAGGGAACCTCTGGACTTGGGAGCTGCTGGTTTGCAAGATATTTCTTCTTCTTCTTGCATTAAGCACTACATAGCTAAAGGGTCAGATATTAAGAGATTACTCTAATGGTTTTTAATTAAAACTCATTGTCAATTTAGTTGGTTTCAGATTTGCATCATGCTAACCTAAGGGCAAGTTGCAACATCTTGCAGTGCAGCTTAAGATGATCGCCCCATCCTGAAGACTGATGGCCAATTAAATTAGGGTTGTTCACTTAGAAGGGAAACTCATTGTTTTCAGCAGGGCTTGCTTTTGAGTAATGACGCTTTGTTCGGGCTTTGAGCAGCCAACTCCCTTGATTTTCTTTCCAAAGTGTTCCATCCCTGCTTCCCACACAAATTTCCCTGTGATCATAACTACCACCTGAAAAGGTCTTCTTCATCAATCCTTTTCCAAAACAAATGACTAAATAATGAAACCTGGACAAATCCACTCCCATGGCACTAATTCAGAAGATATTTCATCTGATCCCAGTTCAAGAACCACGAAACACAGGGACTTTGTCTAATGAACTTCTTTTCTGGATTATCAGACCAAAAGTCTGTCAGTTCCCTGAAGACATAAGAAAAGCCTGCTGGATCAGGCCAGTGGCCCATCTAGTCCATCACCCTGTCCACACAGTGGACAACCAGACGCCTGTGGGACCCACAAGTGGGTTTTGAACACATCACCACTCTCCCCTCCTGTGGTTTCCAGAAACTGATATTCAGATGCATTATTCCCTCTGACCATGAAGGCAGAGCAAACACATCATGATTAGTAGCCATTGGTAACCTTATCCTCTATTATTTCTTCCCATCCACTTTTAAAGCCTTCCAAGTTGGTGGCCATCATGGTGTCCCGCAGAAGCGACCTCCATAGTTTTAACTATTTGCTGTGTGAAGAAGTATTTTCTACTAACACTTAGCTTCATTGGATAGTCCTGAGTTTTACTGTTATGAGAAAGGGACAGAAGCTCTGTCTTATCCACTTTCTCCATGCCACGTATAATTTTATAAATTTCCATCATGTCACCTCTTAGTTACCTTTTCTCTAAACTAAGAGGTCTCAAATGCTAGAACCTGTCCTCAAAGGACAAAGCTGTCCTTCACCCCCTGGATCATTTTGCTTGCACTTTCAAAAAGCTTCTCCAGCTCTACAAATATCCCTTTTGATATGTACACTATCCTTCCTGAGCTGAGGTGGCCAGAACAGCATAGATTTGTATAACCTTCTGGATTATCAGGCCAAAGGTCCACCAGACCCAACGTCCTGTTTCCCACAGTTGGCCAAACAGAAGCCCCCAAGAAGGGCATGGGCATTATAGTCTTCACAGGCTGCTGTCTGCCAATGACAGTTGCACTTTTAGATACTGCCATGAAGCATTAAGGTCTAAAGCAATGTTCATCAGTCCACTGATGTTGTTGGACAACTCCCATCATTCTTGACCATTTGCCAAACCAGTTGGAGATGATGTGAGCTGTGGCCCAAGAACCTCTGGGGACTGAAGGTTAAAGAACCCTGTTCCAAAGTGACTTCATGACCAACATGTTAGACTGCTCCTAATTTCCTTAATATGTGACCTGAGTAAACTATGCCAGTTGGGCAATTGGCAGGTAATTGCTTCTACAATAGAATGTATTCTAGTTGCTGGGTATCATAAATGGGCAGAGTGCTGTTGCAGTGGTTGTGGGCCACTGTGAGAACAGGAGGTTGGTTTAAATGGGCCTTTGGCTTGATCCAGCAGTCAGGTTCTTATTTATTTTTTATCGGTAACAATGAGGGGCTCTTGCATTCATGCCCTGCTCATGGGCATCCTGGAGGAATTTAATTGGCCACTGTGAGAACAGGATGTTGGGTTAGATGGTCTTTAGGGTTCTTCTGATGTTCTTACAAATGTCACCTTCCAGCAGCCCATGCAGCCAGCAGAGTCAGGGCTTATGGGAGTTGCAATCTAGAACCATTGAATTAAGGGAGGAGAAGGATATCAATGGCTTCTAGCCACAATGACTGTGTTTACTCTCCACTGCCAAAGGCACAATGTCACTGAATACCAGTTTATGGGAACTACAAGTGGGGAGAGTGGCTACTTGTGGGCTTTCTGTAGGCATCCGGTTGGCTAATGTGAAAAGAGGACTCAATGGGTTATTGGACTAATCCAGCTGTGGGACGCTTCTGTTCATGGACACCTTTGTGAGCTGCAGCAGAGGGCATGACTTTATCAACCTCTCTATTAATCTGTAGGGATTTGGAACGAGTTTGTTGAATTAAATGTTGCATACCACATTGATCTCTCGTTGTGCTCTTTCAGAAACAGCTCTCACCCTGCAAAGATGTCCGTCGGAGGCGGTGGAAACATGTGCTATGCCAGCTGTCCTGCATCCACAGTGACTATACAGCCACCACCCTTCGTCCTAAATATCCCAGGACCAGCGCTCTACTGCCCTGACCAAAACTTTGGCATTGAGCAATACAACCCATGCGCAGGCTATGGCGGTGGATATGGAGGCAGCGGAGGAATGGGGGGACGTGCTATTGGTAGCGGAAGCAGCATGGGCATAGGTGGTGGTATGGGTGGAGGAGGAGGTTATGGAGGCCTTGGTGGTGCAGGTGGTTATGGGGGTGGAAGTATGGGAGGCCGTGGGCTTGGTGGTTTAGGTGCAGGTGGCAGTCTGGGCAGTGGAGGAGGTTATGGGGGCATTGGTGGTGGTTATGGGGGTGGAAGTATGGGGGGCCGTGGTGGGGGTGGTTTAGGTGGAGGTAGCTTGGGTGGTTTAGGTGGGGGTAGCATGGGTGGTAGTGGTGGCATTGGTGGATCTGGTGGACGTCGAGGCAGCATAGGTGGTGGCAGCGGGGGCGGACGTAGAGGCAGCATAGGTGGTGGCAGCGGGGGCGGACGTAGAGGCAGCATAGGTGGTGGCAGTGTGAGCGGACGTAGAGGCAGCGTAGGTGGTGGCAGTGTGGGTGGACGTAGAGGCAGCATAGGTGGTGGCAGCATGGGTGGCGGGCTTGGTGGATCTGGAGGTAGTGTTGGTGGTGGCACTGGTGGAATTGGAGGCAGTATGGGTGGTGGAGGAGGAGGACGCCGAATCAGCGGGGGACGCCGATACAGTGGCAGTGGTGGCTACAGCAGTGGCGGATATGGTGGAAGTGGTGGCTACAGCAGTGGCGGATATGGTGGAAGTGGCGGATACAGCAGTGGCGGATATGGTGGAAGTGGTGGATACGGAAGTGGCGGATATGGTGGAAGTGGGGGATATGGCAGTGGCGGATATGGTGGAAGTGGCGGATATGGTGGCAGTGGCGGATACGGCAGTGGTGGATATGGTGGAAGTTGCGGATATGGCATGGGCGGATATGGCAGTGGTGGATACGGCAGCTATGATGGTGGATACGGTAGCGGTGGATATGGTGGCAGAAGTTATGGAACCAGAAGAATTATATACTCTGGAGGCCGCAGAAGCGGATATGGTGGAGGCGGCTACAGCAGCAGGTCTTATGGCGGCTCCTATGGTGGAAGCTTGGCGCTGCTGCCTAGTACCACATGCTACACCTGCTACTGAACCCAGAGGAAACAGCCCAGAACTCACGGGACAACCGCAGAAACAAAAGACGATGAACCCAAAGCTTGAACTTGCAGGAGTGGACTTGGGGAAACCCTTTGCCTTCTGTCGCCTGCTGATGCAAGCTTCGTGAACTGAATGATCAGCGAATCCACACTTGAACTCTGTGTGCATTTTTGGTTCCACAATTGCACACAAGAAGAAATAACTCACAGTAATATCCTTTCCAGGCTATGTGGCTTTCTACAGACTTCACGACTATGACTTGAAACGGGTGGGGGAGAGCATATAAGCCCACCCCTTTTCTCCGCTCTGACGATGAACAACCCACAACTGTGCACTTGCATGTCCTGTCTGAAGAGATTCTTGAATGCCTTGAACTGTACCCACTGAAGCATTGTGAAACCTCTGTTTCCACAACCAATGAAGCAATAGTGCAGATTGAAAAATCAATTGCATTCTAATTTATCACCCTTTTCCCTGCTGAAAAAAAATACTGCTGTTTCTTCATTCCCTATGTCATTAAAGCTTTTTTTTGCATCATAAAATTTTCCCTCCTGTCTAGTTTGTATCCCCCTCATACTTCAAAATAGGCAGGTTGGGCTGACACATGAACAAGGAACTAAATGATTCAAGGGCACCCAAATGAGGGTTCCACTTGAGAGGGATTTTGCACCCACTTCAATTCAAGCTGGTCTGTAAAAAACAATTCCAGCCATTACCACATGGGGGCCTATTCACAAGGTATACTGAAATCTTCAAGGTAAACTGAGTCACTGGATCTTTCTGCATTTTATTCCCCTTTAGAGGAGGAAGTTAGTGGGTTAAAGATCATTAGCTGGAGAAAAAAAATCTTGATTTAAAATGAATTGAATGAGTTTATTTCAGAGAACCACAGAGTTCCACAAATCCCCTCCAAACACCCATAGCAAACTGAGCAAACATCAGTTAGCTAGGGCACACTGAATGCAAGAGTGGAAGGTATCCAACCTCCTTCCTAATGAAGGAAATCCAAACCTTAAAAGATGGCAGTCCAGCTTCTGCTTGGAGACCTAGAGTGAAGAAGAACCCATCCACCCTCAGAAGGTCGTGGATCATACACCTGTTATGGGCCAGACTGAGCTGGATGGACCAGCAGACTTTGCCTCCAGAACGTTCTTGAGATGTTTGTTCCATTCTCTTTTAAGGAAAAGGTGACTACGTTAAAAAGTTGCAGGAATTTATTTATATTTGCATGCAGAGGTTCCCAAGGTTCCAAGACGGAGCAGCAAAATTACACAAACTTACAAGTGCATTTTCGATTGTACAGTTGACACAGATGTACAGTGATATACCTCAGAAGTTGAATGGAATCCATTCTGGAAGTTTGTTTGACTTCCAAAACGTTCGGAAACCAAGGCACAGCTTCTAATTTGCTGCAGGAAGCTCCTGCAGCCAATCGGAAGCCACGGAAGCCCCATTGGACGTTCGGGTTCCAAAGGACATTTGCAAACCGGAACACTCAGTTTGGCGTTTGGGAGCCAAACCGTTCGACTTGCAAGGCATTTGGGAACCAAAGTACGACTGTGTAGTAAATCTACATCATAGTTCTTTTAGTGCATTGACGCCTAGGGGGAGGACTATGACTCAGTGCTAGGGCATCTTATTTGCATACAGAAGTTACTGGATGGCATTTCCAGGTAGGGCTGGGGAAGTCCGCACCCTGTAATCCCCGAGAGCTATTGCCAGTCACTGACAACTGAACTGGCCAGACCCATGTTCTGATTTCATATAAGACAGCTTCCTATATACCTGCATAAAGGTAAAGGGACCCCTGACCGTTAGGTCCACTTGCGGACGACTCTGGGGTTGCAGCACTCAGCTCGCTTTATTGGCCGAGGTAGCCAGCGTACAGCTTCCTGGTCATGTGGCCAGCATGACTAAGCCGCTTCTGGCGAACCAGAACAGCGCACATAAATGCTGTTTACCTTCCCGCCGGAGTGGTACCTATTTATCTACTTGCACTGTGACGTGCTTTCGAACTGCTAGGTTGGCAGGAGCAGGGACCGAGCAACGGGAGCTCACCCCGTCACGGGGATTCGAACCACCGACCTTCCAATCGGCAAGCCCTAAGCTCTGTGGTTTAGACCACAGCTCCACCCGCGTCCCTTATATACCTGCATAGGAACCGTTTATAGTTCTCCACCTGTATATCAGATTGGAGAAGACTGATAGGGTAGTAAACAATCACAAGTGCTTTAAAAAAAGTTTTTGCCTGGTGCCTAAAGATATACAGTGGTACCTCCGGTTACAGACGCTTCAGGTTACAAACTCCGCTAACCCAGAAATAGTTCCTCAGGTTAAGAACTTTGCTTCAGGATGAGAACAGAAATTGTGCGGTGGCAGCGGGAGGCCCCATTAGCTGAAGTGGTACCTCAGCTTAAGAATAGTTTCAGGTTAAGAATGGACCTCCAGAACAAATTAAGTTCTTAACCCGAGGTTCCACTGTATAATGGTGGCACCAGGCGAGTCTCCCTGGAGAGAGCATTCTGCAAATGGGGATGTATCTATGTAGTCTCATCTATTTGTTTAATGAATCTATATGCTGCTGTTCACAAGTTTAGTGAATGCAGCCAGCTCACAACACATGAGGCAAAACAGAAAATGGCACCTGCCATTGTTGCTGCCACCACCTCCACCGGAGGTGACTGAAGGTGACCAAGGGAAGTCTTGGAGCACTGAAGGTGGGGGGAGAGAAGGAAGGCAAGTGGGTGTGACTTGGAGAGCCTCCCAGAAGCCAACTAGAGAGCCTTGAAGGGCCGCATTCAGCTCCTGAGCCCGAGGCTCCCCATCCCTGCCCTAGGGATTTTCAAACACAAATGGATCCAGGGAAGCAGGGTTTGAGGTGTTCTTCTTCTGACACAAAGAACGTCGATTCATATCTGGGTCTGGAGAGCACTGCTGTGCTCGGTTTCTGCTTGCAGGCTTTCTAGAAGAGAGATCTCTGGTTGGCCACTCTGAGAACAGAAGGCTGGACTAGACAGGCCTTTGGCCTGATCCTGCAGCTAGGCTCTTTTTACTGGACCTCCAGGTCCAGAGGCAGTCTGTCTAGGTTCCTAGACACTTTGGGGCATTTGGTCATGGAGAACAGGAAGTTGATCTAAGTGGGCCTTTGGCTTGACCCAACAGACAGGCTCTTATGATCTCAACTTATTTCCATACTCTCAATAGCCATGCATTCTGCTGCTGTATCTACAAGCTGCAACCACATGGTGGCACTCTTAAGAAGCAATATTAACCACTTTCAACATGCTCTGGGATGCCGATGATGACCTTTGTCTTAGCTATGAGGAGCTTGGGATCACTTCAACAAATATTAATCTCCACCAGTGACTCAGTTCACGGCCCTCCCTTGCCCCAGCCCTAGAAGCAGGCACACCTCACAAGGACACATAAGGCACTCAAGAGATGCAATATGATTAATATATTTTGAAACAAATGGACAAAAATGTTTTGAAACTGAAAGTCGGCTTTTTACAACATTGTTCCATTTATTTTCGGAAATCAAACAGGACAGACCATGCATCTGTTGTGTTGGTGTCATTGACCAATGGCAGGCAAGCAAAAGGATGGGTGTTCGCTGAGGGACGGGACCAACTGATCTAGCAGGCTTCACTTGGGTCTGCTCCTCAAGCATATAGAGGCCCTCCTCCTTCCGTCATGTGCAGTTTCTCATTGGATGTCCCACTGACTCTCCCCTTTTAGCCTAATGTTATATTTCATGAATGAGCTTGTTGTGGACAAAGTTGGTCGTTGTATTCTGAGCCAGGCAGGGATTTTCCCTCAGACTAATTGGCCCTGTCTAGGGGTTTTGCCTACCTCATAGCAATTGTCACAGCTTGGCCAGTTTAGGCATTAGGTTGGCCTTAGTCTTGGTGGAGGGGAGGTTGTAAGCCTCTGCCTGCCCCTCCAAGGACAGGTATATCCTTTTAAAGGGATCTGGGAGGAATCCCTGGTTGTCCAGACAACCAGGTGGGGGCTATGGCCATAGCAAGGCAGCAATCAAGCCTATTTGAAGTAGGTCAAATGTCCCCCATGACTCTGGTCTAAACCCTACTTCCAGCAGGTGGGCTGGTTGTTAATGGTTGTTATACCCAATGCCTATGCCAAACCTCTCACATCTGTAATCAATAAAAGTTGTGGCCTTATTTGACCCAAAATGCAATGTGTCTTGCCAGGTTATTATGCTCAAAGTCAGGGTCATCAGACACTGACTTTACCTATTTCAAGAGAAACAGGTAAATGCAGTAATGCTTCTGAATACCAGCTGCTGAAAACCACAGGAGGGGAGAATGCTCTTGTGCTCAGATCCTGGACTAGATGGGCCATTGTCCTGAACCAGCAGCCTCTTCTTATATTCTTATTCCACCTAGCAAATGTGCAGGTGGGTGAAAGTTATGCCACTGGAAGCTGGCAAAAGCCCCCAAATAGGGTATTCTGGGGGCAGGAGGAGGGTCAGGCTGATCTTCCCTAGGATCTACTCTTGGGCAAAAGCTTCCTGCATTGCAGAGGGTTGGACTAGATGATCCTTGTGGTTCCTTCCAGCGCTAAGATTCTATGATTCTATAACAGCGGTACCTTGGTTCCCGAACGGCTTAGTTGTCGAACAATTCAGCTCCCGAACACCACAAACCCAGAAGTTTGGTTTGTAAACGTTTTTCAGAAGCTGAACATCCGACGAGGCTTCCAACTGAAGCTCCTGCAGCCAATCGGAAGCCGCGCCTTGGTTTTTGAACGGTTTTGGGAGTCGAACGGACTCCCAGAATGGATTAAGTTTGAGAACCAAGGCACCACTGTATTCTTAACCACCCTGCACAGTGCCACCTACTGGCCCTTGTGCTCAAACAACTTACATCACACCCACTCTTTCAAAAAACGGAAGGATGACAGCGCAACAGAGGCCATATTCACGCCATACATTTAAACTATTAAAAAAACAACAACCCCCAAACACAACTCACTTTAAACAGCCATGACTTCCCCCAAATAATTCTGGGAGCTGTAGGGTGTGGAAGTTGTTAGAAAACCCCCACTATTCCTCTCAAAGGATTACAATTCCCAGAGTTCTCTGTGAAAATGGATTGATTGGTAAAC